ACCATCATGTTGTGCTGGTCAGTAGCGTCACCCCCTCCTTTTGTGATGTTAGGTTCTCTTCCGTCTGTGATATGCATAATACTGCTCTAGTATAAGTTCCTTGTTGTAATACACTTTTTCTACTAGTTTCATGTTACAAGCAATGTAGATGATCAAAGCTATATTATGGGTTAGATATCCACACTGCTATGAAGATAACTAATAGTATAAATTATACGACACTAATCAGATTATATGTGGTTTAGAGATGGTAAGGATAGATTGTAGTGGCATTGGGTCGTAACCATACAATCCTGAAATGTGAATAGGAAACAACCGAGAAAATAGATATTCAACATTTAACTTGAAGAAAAACCCAACGATGTAGAAGGCAGGAAGGATGAATTCATTCCGTCGAGTGGCATGGCTGGGCTTTTCAGGTATGGTCATTCTTCGGTGTTGTCTTATGTATTTTATTCATGTTGAATATATTGTTCCATCTCCAGCCCAATTGTGTTCTACAACATATACTGGTGATTGTTACGATGCGATGAGTTGGTGTAGAAAATGATGTGACCTCCATTTAAGATCTTATAGATTAGGCAGTTACATCATGACAAATCTGCAATTTAAGGTCCATTATAAGAGCAGTATTAATAACGAAGTTTAACATAAATCTAAAAGATAGCAAATCAAAGACCATGAAAGGGTTTAGAATTGTGAAATTTAAGAGTGAGAAAACAAAACATTTAGCGACTCACAAGAATTTAGGATATTATGAGCATTTTATGGTTGGTCATACTTGATCAACATCCACAAGATTAGTGAGTTATCTGTCTACCTGTAATAGAAAAAAACGACACGACACTTAGGAAGAATAATGCAACTTTAACCTACCGCGCAAAATTTGAGAGTGGTCTAGGAATTCTTCGACTGGTTCATTTGTAGGGTGTATTATACGAAGACTATCATCCTGTCTTGTCTATCGGGTACACTTTACTCTGAAGAAAATTTCGACGGAAACTTACCAGTTAATATTATTTCTATCGCGGACTTAAGTCTTAAATAGATCTGAGACTTATTATATGCTCATAGTCTCTGATACTTGTATCAATCGGGTTTAAACTTAATAACGACTATATACTCAGATATTATATTTTGTTTAGCGAGCTCTCTATTCACCCAATTTCAAATCATGGCCAATAACCTCAGTAAAAGAGACATTTCACGGACTTCTAAGCCAAATTACAGGTCCAAATCTGATTGACGACTAAGTATATGACAATGTCTAACCTTTATCTACTAAACAATATGCGTCTTATCCACAAATACCACTATTAGTACCTGATTCTCCGTATTACAACCCCTCTATCTCTGCCTACAGTACACTAACGGTAAGACTGGTTGACATACAAGGCATAGTACCCACGTGCATGGAAAAGTCAGCGCAGTCTACCAGACAGCCTGTTTTACCATGGCTTAAGTTCAAAATTTCAAAAACCAAAGAGTCTAATAGTTCATTTCGTTCACACAAAATACTGATAGATAAAGTACTGACATCCGTCAGCTACAAAACTCTCTGGCCAAAATTGACGGCAGACTTAATCAACTAGCACCTCTCACACGTATATGAGGTCTTGATACTGATCGAAATCTTGAGCAGCTTACTAAAGCCGAGTGCATTTTGGAGATTAAGGCTGAAGAAGTGACGAAGAGAGTGATGTCCTCCTTCAATGCAGTCGCGTATAACCTCCTCGACCGCACACACCCGTGCAACTTAAGGGACATTTGCCTTAGATCATGGGGTATGCTGAACGTTAACTGCAAAGTCATCCTCCTTAGAAAAATTCAGACAGATCAACATGCCCCCTCTTGTTTAAGTTTGGCTGTTGTAACGATGCTAAACAGCTTATTGATTTGATCGATAATATTGACTCATTAATTCCATATGAATTTCATTAGAGAGATTCGGAATCTGAAGGTGAGGTGTAGGAGCATAAGGGCACAACTCATAATCAATGAATAATCGGATAGTGTAAACCATATGTTCTATCATTCGGTTATATTCATATTAATGACAATGAGGTTCCTTATACTAACGATCTGTTTAGATATTAGGCGGTCCATAATAAAGTGTGTCATTGGTGGGTGAAAGTTCAGAAAATAGTTGATTAGACTCTTTAGAGTCAAGTAACAATGTTATTAGTCTTTTGAACTTGGTGATAGTGTCGCAGTTACGGATAGGTATTGGCAACGTATTCCATAATAAACTATACCGCACTGTAAAAAACGTACAACTCCTTGGTTTTCGGTGTTTTCCAGTAAGCATTGCGTTGTTTTTGAGTCTATAGAATGGGTCATAAATCGTGGTCGCGCAGGAGGTTAGAAATGGGAGTCCATATATTGCTTTGCAGAGAAATATCAGGTCGTTCCTTTGACGATGGCACCATAAGGGTTCTAAGGAGAGGTGGCGAAGTATTTTCCTAGTTGATTTCACGATATAATGTGTTTACACTGAATTTGAATTTTTACTTGTGCTCTTGTGCAACGAGTTATGATAATTAACTGTTTATGAGATCGGCTCATCAGAAATATGAGTATCACGTGGAACAAACTTCAGTCATACAGCAAGAGCTATTGTGCTAACATATAAATTACAGGATAAAAATTCACGGACGGATTCACAGTTTAATTATAGGACGAAGTGCATTTAGAATAATAGAGGAAGCTCAGAACAAAGAGAATGCCATGGCTGTTAACTTCAATACATAATCAACACATTAGTCCCTTCCAGATAAAGGACTAAGTCCAGATGTTAAGCTACCCAATCGGCTGATTACAGTGAAATTCAATGGACCTAGTGTACTGAATGCAGTAAACTCTTCGGACTTAGAAGTATGGTGCTGAAAGTCAATTTTCGTTTGAAATCTTCCAATATGCCGAACGCAACCGTTTATCGATTGCAACAACATAGAGTCAGAAGGAAATTTATTGTGTAGAGACCATCCTTCATCTATATACACCTATTTAAATGTATCTTTCAGTCCCTAAGGAAGTTGGGCCCACTGGCGTTTAGTGTTTTATCGCTTATAAAATGAAGCCATTCCTTGAAAAAATAAATACGAATGTAATTTGGTGGTTTCTGCGTGGTGCGATGTACCGTTCTCAAATGGTAGTTTCTGATTGTCCCGTCTCACTACTGATAATGTGTCAAGCAGTACAGAACATGATTTTAGTAACGGGTTGTCATGCACATCTGAAATTAGTCGCTTGATAATGGAAAACCAGCAAGTGATGTCTGCTTTGGCTTCAGAAATAATTTTGAGGAGGTTTCAGGTACTGAACTACTGTTTATTCTGGGAATCTCTAGACAACCGTTCAGAAGTGTAGTGATGGGTCGTCCAAAGAAAACCAGTATGAAACTCAAATGCTTCACTAAGAAACTAGTACTTAGCGGATTACAGTAAGTCACCATCCTGTACCATTAACCGTAAATACTCCACGTGAATGAAATCCTAGTGTATTAAATTCCCGACTCTACATTAAGCTGGTCACATTGAAAGCTGAAGGAAAGTAGCCGGAGATACCGACAAACAAGAAATTCAGACCGACCTAGATATTCTAGTAAGCTAGTGCAAGTCATGTTTTGTGGCTATCAGTGAAAATAAATGTGGCCATCTGTACGCTAGACATGCAGTTACCAAGAAATATAAAAAACTTGGGAAACATCGGTGATGTTGTAGAGTCAGCGAAGTGTCGCTAAACTCCAGTCAAATCATCCGGCAGTTGGATGACTGAATGTTGACCCCTGTCAAAGTCAAGGACAACAGACGCGCATCAGTCAATTTAACACCATGGACTGGCCGACGTGGTGGTGTCCTCAACTTTTCCCCTGTACCTAAGTTTACTAACCCACTTCTGTAGTAACGTACTTTATGTTATACTGTCTTCAGAGCAGCTATAGTTTCATGGTACGATGAAGAGATAATCCATGTTGGTGCCGAAGTCAGCTGGTTCGTCACACCATTCACATCTAACTCGAGTAGGCCTCCAATCATTCGACATAGATAATCTACACTGTTAGTTCTGAGTCAAAACGATTCAGGAGTAAATGTATGTCATAATCTTGGGGCCACTTGTCTCTGCTCCCTGTGTTGACATGTTGTGTTATGACTATTACGATAGATATTTTGGAGGAAGTGAAGACGGCAGTTACCCGTGTAATGACGGAATTACGGAGCTTAACAGTATATAATGGGGTTTGAATAGTTAGACTTCTCTTATTTACAGAAAATTAAGAGTCCATCCTGTCTTCAAGTATCAGTTATTGAAATATGATTTGGATCTGACATATCCTCGCTTTTTCCTCCCGACAAAAATAAGAACCCAGTGGGCACAGCAGTGCAGCTCAAAAACTCAGGGTGAACAAATCACCATGACAGATTTTCTCACTGATTACTCAACACTTGGAACCTGCTACTAGAAAATATGGCGTCTGTGCCCTCAGTCGTCTCATTAAATGAGAGATCAGACACGTATAGAGCTTTCTAGAAGAAATCCAGCACAGGCCTTAGGTTCTTTGCCTTCAGTATACAAATCTGAATCTGGAATGTAAAGTGGAAGAGTCTTTTAATGTAATTTAGTGGCCCAGTTGGTTTCTGTAACTAGTTTGACTCACATTTCCACAATGATATTTCTTTTGTCAGATCTTCGGCCTGACATAAAAGCTGGAAGGATAAAGCCAGGGACTGAGTGAAAAATGAAATCTTATTCCCTAAGTAAAACTGTCTGAAAATTTCCGAATTTTTCGTCGTTTTAAATAAAAAGGTGGAATCAGAACATTTCCCTTCATCCATCATTTAGATTAACAGAAAGCTGTGAATTATTTACGACACTGCTTACTACGTTAACGATAGATGTATGCTTAGTGGACAAATATTTAAGAAAAGAAGCACAAAATCCCATAAGTAAAGACCATCCCGAAAATCGATATCATACACTCGGTGTCCACTTAAGTAGAAGAAATTCAGAAAAACACCAGACATACGAAGACAGTCTTCATTAAGAAGAATAGTAGGTCGGTGTACGTGTGTAAATCAATGCAAATTGTTTTCCAATGAAGGTTCAAAATGTAGATACTTTGAGGAAACCATAGCCGAAAAACGTGCTAATAAATCAACGCTTCAAAACTTTAACTTAAACCGCACGCTCAACATGCACATTCAAACAAGTGTCCAAAACACGGTTGAAACTAAATCAGTGGACTTAAAACTTACAGCGCCTAATACAATCTTGACACAGGGACCATGGTTACTATGGAGGTATTTATCCCTGCCTAACTTTATGTTTTTCAGGAATTTAACAGTCACGCTGAAAAAGTTAAAAAGCTTAAAACAAAACCTAATGATAATGATCTCCTTGAACTTTACGGCTTGTACAAACAAGCTACAGTTGGTGACAACAATACATGTACGTTTTTTAGTTTATAGTTTATTCACTAGGTGCACCTGGTATCCTCGATCTAAAAGGAAAGGCAAAATGGAACGCTTGGAATGGAAAAAAGGGTAAGCAGTCGTTCAAAGCCATATATATGTGGTACAGGCATGCATGTACTTAAAAACCATCTTCACAAGCCCATAGGCTAGGTTTTCCATTTGATTAATGACAGGTTGCCACAACACTATAACAACTATGCATTCTGCAAACTAAAGCTGGGAATCTTTCTGCTTAGGATAAGTGGAGAGACTCATGATAATCACTCACTAATCTTATATGATTGGGACACGTGCGCTTTTGCTTAATTTGCCATACATTGTACTGTATGTCCCCATGGTTGTGGTTCCTTACTAATGGTTTATATTTAAGATTGTAAGATCGACCTTAGCATTGTGTATTTTAACTAAAACATGCAACACAATGACAGTCGTAGGAATAAACATCAAATTTGACCTGACTACCAAGGAAAAAATTTGTTTACTGTTGCCTAATTTGTCTTTTCTCTATAAGCTACTCTTGTGCGCTACAAACTGAACTTTTAGACAGTATGTAAGGCCGTAAGACTAAATATTAGTAACTGTGGTTAGATATCCCCATCACTACCGTCCAGAAATATATTAGTAGTGTGACGTTTGGTCTGCTTGGTTCCCGGTTCTTCACCCGTAAACCAATGACCCTGAAGTACATTCTAATTTGATGTACAGAGAAATAAAAGCATTCTGTGCCGAAACATTGTGCTAATTAGATAAAAAGAGTACAAGAGATAAAGGTGGTTGTGTGCGTCCGACCAATGTAGTTGAACCACGTAAAATATTTGGTTCAACCTGAGTTCCACTCCTTTTGGATTTAAAAGATAAGTTTCACTTTATTTAGTAACGTGTTGTTCCAAAGTATTTCTCATACACTATAAATAATTTTTGAGCTCTTGAACAATCTTAGAATGAAGGAAAATACAGATTAATGATATATATATATATATATATATATATATATATATATATATATATATATATATATATATATATATATATATATATATATGCGTCTATATACGCATTCGTATTACCGCTTTTTAAAACATGACAGCTGAGTGTTAGAACTCAGTAGCAAAATCATCCTGGGCTTTACAATTATTAATTATTATATTAAGGTTTCTAAGCTATTTAACAAATAACCACAACAAATACTCGCTGATGGCAATCTTGAGGGATCAGTGACCATTCACCCTCCTACAAACAGAGAAACCTATATACCGTGAACTGAGTTCATAGTCTTCAGCTAATTATGAGTGCAAATATCCTGATTTTGTTTGATACAAAATACCATCAAGTTTTCCGAGTATTCGTTGAAGGCAATTGAGAAACTCACATAATATCGGTCACTCATGTGATAAGATGCAAATTTCACTAAGGGGTGTTTTAAACGTATGGCTGAATTATCCGCCTAAAAGCTTACTATACTAGGCGTATTTTGGCCTTAGATTACAGTTCATATAGATACGTTTAGAAAAATAATTTTTGGTATAACTGGGTATCTTTACTCTCATTTCATCGTGTAGTAGCGATTGTACTTACCGATGGTATAAGCTAGTAAAGTGTTTCGCATTGATTTATTTTATTACCAACCATCAGCTCGCGGCTTCACTTACCGATGTTTGAGAAATAGTCTATGTATCACTGTCCTGATAAATGGTCCCAAAAAGTCACCAGTCAGTCTTACGCAACGTAGAGCCTGCTATAACGCTAGCAAAAGTCATGAAAGTGGTTTCTTGTTAATTCTATTACTGTTTACTTCTAAATTACAGGTATTTGCAGCGAAGAAGCCAAAAGGTTGTACGTGAATAAAGCTAGATGCCTTATTGAAAAATATGGACTGGAATCATAATTACTATTACTTTTGTTCAAGGAAACTAGTTTATTCAGTTAATATTCATATATTTTTGATATGATTTGCATATTGAGTTCGGTTATAATTTTTACTCTTTTTTCCTCATTTTTTTATTTGTTACTTTACAAATGTTAATCGTAACGATAGGGGTCAGTAAACATTTTTGATAATTGTTATTTACTGTATATCTAAACGTGTTTTACGACATTAACGACTTCTATTGTCTTTCATACTTTTTTGTAATATCAAAATATATATTAAAGGAAACATAGAGATACTTTTTCTGCTTAGAAACAGCCAATCTCAGCAATTTGGATAAATGAAGACGTTCAATCAGTTATATGCAGCGTAGAACTAGGCATATGCATTGGTCACCATATCACATTATCATGACGAGATAAATTTGTTTCCTGACTAATCTTAGAGTAGTGAAAATATCAGTAGTGAAAAAGGCTTGGCATAGAAAAAGAAAAAGAAAGGTATTAGGCGATTTCGAGACTCAGGTTCTATAGAAAGACATGAACTAAATGGACGTGTGCTATGGCGAACGATTCTGAGATCTCACTCGAAACCCAACCACTGGTTACGATAATCACGTGGAATCCAACTAGGTAGCCAACAACTATTTAAATGAAGCAGTTCAGTTGTCAATGACTTAATGCCATGGAGTACTGCAAAGATATGATTTCGTGTAGAGGCCTGATGAAGAACTAATTGAGAGGAACTATTTCTTCTCTCAATCTGTCTTTTTAATATCTCAATGGGAATATTTGATTACTTACATTGACCAGTTTTAAAAAATAACTAAAGTAATGGAAGTCCTCTGCGTGTTTGTACTAAAAGCAGCATACACGAGGTGTACTTAATAATTGAACTTACAGAAAACTACATACCAGATCGAAATCTCATAGACACTAATATTTCTTTTACTTGATCAGACCCATTATTTAAAATGCCGCTAGTTGAAATCCTACAAGAATAGCGTCAAATTCAATCCTTCACCCAGTATTCAAAAGAATTATTCTTAAAACCAGTTCAAAAAGTCATTTAAACAAGTAGAAACAACAAGTTAATTTGATTGATGTAAGGACTTAAGTAAATAGTTGTGAATATATCTCGTTCGTTTTAGTCAGAATGTTTGCTACCATGCGTCACGCTGTCATTTATTGACGAGCTGAAAATATCGATCTTCGAACTGTTGAATGGATTTACGGGGTACTGTGCTCGCCACGTGTTCCTAGTTCTGGGGTTCACTTCTGTATGGTTCCCCCAGGTCACGCTGTAGAGTTAGTTCCAACTTAAATCTAACAATCATCCTAGCGTTCAATGGATTTTAGGCTGTTTTAATGCGTAACAAAAAGCACGCTTTATTGCTAACTTGAAAAGGACTCAATTAAAATTCGTTCCTTTATGATTAAAATTGGGAACGTACCAGATACTCAAAACCTATCAGACAAGGTTAAATGCCATATGAGTTAAAAAGATTCAGTATAATAATATTCAGCTTTTATGTTGGTAAATTAATTTATTGTGAGAATCATAAGGAGGGTAGAGTTGTTTCCCGAAATACTGAAAGGTAAACCTAATAAAACGCGGATCACATGGGTTAGAGAAGTCTACTAGATGACTGAGAAATTCTGAATATTAATAGTTTTTAACGAATTGACGGGTGTGCGTATCAATCAACAACTCATAGTATCAAACATTCATGCGCTTAAATTTACTGGGCAACATAAATGAGGAATATACCTTCACCTCGTTCCTGACACTGTCATCGTATCTCCAAAACTAAATGGTCAGTAAATTTGTTGAAACTACTGTAACCTATCTTTGTAAGATTTAACGTAGAAGTGCGTTTATATCATTATTATTATCAGATGCAAAAAGCGGGTTTAACGAATAATAATATAATAGCCATAGATGTATTATTATTGAAAGTGTCTCACTGTCATAAAAATGAAGAGGATTCAGCGAATAAAATTCTCTTTTCGAGGAAATCATCTACTTAAGCTGTACATTCGTGTTTATAGTTCGACAAATATGTCTGTAGGGAAACAGATTGTAAAGTGATCTGAGATTTCAAATATCAAAAGGAGGACGCGTAATGATCCCGGGCTTGGAGAAGGATAGGAGGATGAAAATAATTTACCGGTCGGAAATATGAGAGAATTACCTACTTGACAGATACGAAAGGAAATGAAAAACGTAAAGCTTACAATAATTGGATAATCATGACAAATAGTTAGTGGCGAATAATACGTGATTACGTTTCTAAAAAAATTACAAAATAAAAACTCAAAACGTACTGGGTAGGGGGATAAGGACCAAGGAAGGGTGAGTGGTTAGACATTTCGTTTTCGCATAGATAGTCCGGCCTTGAATTGGTGGATCGTCAGCTGTTCAGCAGTGCATAGGTCTTTGTTCCAACCTCCGTTTGGTCTAATTCTTTTGGTTGTATAGATTACTTTCAAGGATGACTTCTGTGAAGTAACGTGTTGAAGATGCCACAGGTATTCGGAGTTTTACAACGCTTTAACCAGTAACACCTTCTATATGAAGCGTACCCACCAAAGGAAATCAGAAGACAGAAGCAAGGAGGTTCGAAGGTATATTTGATAAGCTATCAATATATCGAGGATCGTCTGATCTAATCTGACTAGCGATTGCAGTAGACGTTGAGCACGGCGTTCCCACTCGTGATCTGGTGCAGATGCATGAACGAGCGCGTTCAGCTAGGTGAGTCCATTAAAACATGTGATCAGCATCTAATGTCGAAAACTTACAGAGCTATTTATTTTGGGGATTTATTTATCACTACAGTGTCCAGAGTTGATCAGTTGTTCCTGTATTGAGTTGATGATAACTTTAGATCCCACTTTTAAAAGCCACTCGAAGTATTATTTTTAAACGCGTTTGGAAAATGATTGTTTAGTATGGCCATTATAACTTCTCCCACAAGATCAAGGAAATTTTTTAAATCTATATTGATTCGGTACAAAGTGAACTTTTATCCTTAACTGGTAGACCGGCTTGAAAGGACAATATCTATAAAATCAGACTTGTTGGAACATACTTCTTTTTGTTATTCACAACTATTTCGTTCATTTCTCAATTAGATTTTATTTGTCATCACCTTTATTGTTATTAATAATGTACTGTTTTCTCACTGTGGTTTTTCAGGCTTTCCCTCTTATAATGTCTGGTCACTAAAATGAATACACTTTGATGCTTGGTTTAACAGTGTTATATATAGGACCTGTCATACAAAGTATCTCATATAGTTTCTCACTAATTATTATAAAGTAAATACCATAAAGATACCTGATAATAAGTACATAATTTATGTAACGTATTAAGTTTACCTACTTGTATTATTGATATATTCACATTCCTTTCTAACTTATTCACATTTAGATTATTTAGCAATCAGTCATCAATATGTACGGTGTACGAGATGATATTGACAACATAATGATTAACCATGATACAATCAAATGTATTTTAAAAGCAAAAATATGCAGTATCAATACACGTATATCTTTTAGCTTGTTTGACTGATGTTGTAAGATGGTTAAGTTTTTTTATATTTTGAACAATTTGATCACATATGTTGTTGATATTTTTCACGAACTATTAAAAGCCAGGAAGCACTGGAAAAGCTGTCTCAACTTAGTATGAAGCTTCTCAGAATTCGCACATCCATGATCCTACACCACGAGTTGAGTTTAAACTCTTCATAGTAAACGTCTAACCTTTAAATCATTGAGTTGGCACTCAATGGCTTACATTTCCAACTTCAATCGATTAGAAATATTGTGTAACTATCTTTCAAAGTCATTAGTAGGTATTTACCTCATACCTAACATGCTCTAATCATTCAATGATTCTTCAGTTTTTCATAGGTTAGCAACGTTTGTCTGTAATTATCTATTCATGTTTACTAATTTATTTATTCGTTCATTCATGTTACTAAGAAATTATTCTTAATAAAGTGAAAGAAAGTTCTTTCATGAAATTTTATTCTGTACTTTTCTTTATTTCGTCTGGTTTTTTTTGTTGTTGGTGTCTTTCTCCTCATTTTTCCTTTTGTTCAAATTTTTAACGAATATCAAATTTCAATTTCAAATGAAAAAGGAAAATTGAAATCTTGAAATCTCTAAAATGGAGGGCAAATAAATAAGGAAGACATGGTGAGCGAATGAGCAGGAGACACAGCAAAAGATAGTACGTACGTACGTATGTGTGTGTTTGTATGTATGTGTATGTGATGGAAAAAGAACCCCAACTCGTCACAATTATGATCATATTAAATATGAATAGTGAAATGAAAGTAGGAAAAAAAACATTATAAACAAAGGAATGAAATAGGTTGGGTTATAAAAAGTCATTAACATTGTAAACATTTAGAAAAGATTCAACTATTAGTTATGTGACTGACTGTATATATATTTTATCTATCCCAACTTGAAAGAAAAACAAACGTACAATCAAATACAGCGACACTAACAACAAGGGATCACAAAAAGGGACGAAAAATCAAATCATTTTACTCTCTTTATCGTTTCTTTTTTCCTTGGATCCAATTTATTATGAATGTTATTCATAAAACAAAATAGAAAAATATTTAAAAAGAATAAAATAAAATATTCAATTTTTTTGTTTAAAATTGTCATGGAATCATATTTGGAAATCAGAAAAAAAAGAAGGAAAAACAACAAAGAAAAAAAACAACAAGAAGGGAAACAAAACATCAATTTCGATTATGTAATCAGTTAAAATTACGTTTTTTTTAATTTCTCTTAAAATTCTTTTCTCATGTCATGTCACTATGGTATATTTGTGAATTAACTCTTCTTTATAGGAATATATATATATATATATATATATATATATATATATATATATCGAGAGAGAGGGGATGAGGGAGGGGGAGAGAGAGCGTGTGTGTGTGTAATAAATTAATTACTGCATGTCAGTGTATAATATTGTTAAATGCAAGATGAAGTAGAAGTTTTAATCTTTTTATAATGTAATGTGTTAAACGTTTGTACAATCAGGAAGTGAATGGGTGTTGATTATTATTTTCTTTTCTTTTTTTGTTGTTGAAAGGAACTTAATTTGTTTTAATTTTAATTTCTTTTAAGCGGAATATTTGAATAAACAATATTTTAAGAATGATGAGTGAATTAAGTGATTTCGTTATTTATTTTGCTTGACTAAAGTATTTGTGTATGTATAGGATATTTGAGCAGAAATAAAAACACTGATATT